CAGTCTTCATGGAGGAGATTACTGAGTAGTTTGGTTCATCAGGCTGACCCCCCAGTCTCCATGGAGGAGATTACTGAGTAGTTTGGTTCATCAGGCTGACCCCCAGTCTTCATGGAGGAGATTACTGAGTAGTTTGGTTCATCAGGCTGACCCCCAGTTATTGAGTGATGATGATGTTTTGGCAATGTGAAGATAAGAATTCAAGAGTATGGTACCTCTGTATCTGATAGAGAATTGACTATGTGCAGTGGGGAGGGTGAAGGTTATCGCAGTGTCTTGTGTTATATAGATGGATTTCAGAATAAACCTGGAAGAATCCATTGAAGGGTTTAGGTAAACTGTCTGGGAGGTGTGAGTATTTGTAGATTAAAGTTGTCGTACATTAACGTCGTAAATAGACAAGCTATTCCGTTTCTTAAACAAAGGTGCAGATGGAGCCAGGTAATTAGAGGAGGTGGCTAGTCTTGCAAATGTATTTTGTATGATGAGTAATTTGTGTAGGTAGGAGGCATATGTACTGGCCCAGACAATATCACAGTAAATGAGATATGGGTAAATTAAGCTACAGTATAGAGTTAGGAAGCAAGGCTGATGAACCAAACCAATAATGTTTCAGATGATACTAACAGATTTCATCACTTTGCTGCAGACAAATTGAATATGATCTTTCCAGGATAACTTTTCATCAATTAAAACTCAGGAGGAATCTAGTGGATGTGACTTGTTCCATTTAATTCCCAACAATTGAGATTCTGTTTATTAATTTATTATTTTATGTATTTTTCATACAATATGTCTTATTCTTACTAGTGAGTAAACTAAAGTTGGATCTTTTAACATTTAAAGATAATTTATCTGGAATCATTCAGAAAATGTGTCCATGCCTGAGTTGGCTTCATTACTTAGTGAATCAAAATGATTGCGTGATAAAATCTAATTGGTATCATCAGCAAAGAGAATGGGTAGTATGGTAAAGTAATTGCTATAGATTAGGAATAACTAAGGTCCAATTATCAAACTCAGTGTGACGCCACAGGATGTCTTGGCCCTGGTAGATGCACAGCCATTTGAATAAACAAATTGTCCTCTATCATGAACATAACTACGTAGCCAATTATATGTATAATCATGAAAACCGTAGTAATGTAATCTAGAAAGTAATATTTCATAATCAACCGTGTCAAACGCTTTGGATGAATCTAAAAAGATGCCAAGAGCATATTCATTGTTGTTCAGGGCTGTAAAGATTTTATCCACAAGTTGCAAGCCAGTAGTTTTTACGAAAGTAGTTTTTACGAAAACCATATTGGTGCTCATATGGAATACAGTGTTGATTTAAATGTTTCAACAGTCTCTTCTACACTCATTTTTCTAAGATTTTATTAAAACACGGTAGTACAGATACTGGGCGATAATTTGTAAAATATCTTGGATCCCCAGATTTATAGAGGGGGATAACTTTGGAATATTTTCAAATCTTTAGGAACAATACCAGTTTGAATAGATTTGGTGAAGATATTTTACATTTTAGTCATTTAGCAGACGCTCTTATCCAGAGCAACTTACAGTTAGTGAGTGCATACATTTTTATTATTATTATTATTTATTTTTTCATACTGGACCCCCGTGGGAATCGAACCCACAACCCTGGCATTGCAAACGCCATGCTCTACCAACTGAGCTACATCCCTGCCGGCCATTCCCTCCCCTGGACGACGCTGGGCCAATTGTGCGCCGCCACGACAGAGCCTGGATTCGAACCAGGATCTCTAATGGCACAGCTAGCACTGCGGTGCAGTGCCTTAGACCACTGCACCACTCGGGAGGATATTAGATATACGTTAGAGGCTCAGTAATCGAGGAAGACACTGATATCTGAAGTAGGTGAGTAAATATGTTCTTATACTTTTTGTAATTTGCAGAATTCAGGGGAGAGGGATTTTTGAGGAACTTTTTATGCAACTTTTTTTTTCCTGAGGATTTTTTGTGACCGGTTGTAAACCAAGGTTTCCAGAACCTTCTGCTGCTCTCTTATGTGGTTTAACTCAGGGAAAGCAGTGGTGAAATACAGAGTTGAAAGATGTGAGTCTTGTAAGCAGACTCCACATCGGCCTGATTATAAATATTTTCCCATGAAATATCATCAATCAACATCTTAAAGCGCTCGCAATTACTTTAGTTAAATATTCTACATTTAATGCTACTAATCATCCCCATCTGTTCATTTCCAGCTGCCGAAGAGAAGTGGAAAATTGGAAAGTGGTCAGAAATGTCATTATAAAGTATACCTGTATTAGCCACATTATTAAAGAATTTGTAAAAATATTATCAATAAGGGTTGCAGATGAACTGGTCACTCTTGTGGGCTTATAGATGAGGGGAAACAGATAGCTGGAGTATAAAGTATTCAAAAAGTCAAATGTCAGTTAGTGGTTCTCACTTTTAAATACGTTCATGTTGTAATCACCCAATAGAAAACACATTTTATCTTCATTATTAATCCAATGAACCTACCAATGTCAGAATCAGGTGGCCAATTAGATGCATCCGATTACAAAAAAAATGTACAACCAAAAAATGAACAGGAGGGAATTTCTATGAAAAGAGATTCAACATTAATGTTATCAGATGTAAGTGCGAGGTCCTCTCTTACAAAGAATTGAAAATGTTTATGAACAAAAATGGCCCCTCCCACTCTGGATGTTTTACAGTGGTGAACAGCATTATGAGGAGACGTGTCATAAAGCACGGTTGTCTCTTCAGTCAGCCATGTTTCTGAAAAGGGCAACGATGGAACATACATGACTGAGAGAAAGACAGATAAATGAACAAGGTGGTCATGATTTTTAGGAAGACTGAACGGTCAAATGAAAAGGTAGAAAATACGTTTGGAATTAGATAAACTGCTAAACAGGTTGTTCAACTGCTTAACATTATAGTAATCACAAGTGATAGACTCATCTCTGGTCAATTTCAAGAAATTTGAATCTGGATCAACACAATTATGAAATGTATCGTTGGCTTCATTAATATCTAATGGGTTAAAGACCATGTTATCAGGGCTGATATCCTGCCCAACTAAGAAGAGATACAACGTCGGAATCATCCAGAGAGTGGAACGGAAACATAGAAGTGCATGCCTCACATGTCCAATACAACCATACATTTGTGTTAGTTTTATCAATAGGGGGTGCACTTCCTATGGAACGCACATTGACACGGTCCACATAACACCACTGAAGACTTCAGAGGGTTATGACATTTAGAGCAATGTGTGTTTTTGGTCACGAGGTTAAGTGAAACACATGAACAACTTAGAGTAAATATGTGTGTATGTGTGGGTGTGTCAAATCAGTGGACTATAGCAGAGTCACTTGCCATAGGCCTATGAGAGGGGGGTGGGGGGGGGGGGGGGGGGGGGGGGGGGGGGGGGGGGGGGACGATCAGCTGATCATACTTCAGGTATGCCATGTCGCCTTTCTTTCGTTCTTCAATTTGTCGTGGCAGCAGATCCTGTCTTTTGAGGCGTACCTTTTTTCGGAGAAGTCTTCATTGATGAAGATTTTGGTTCCCTTCAGGCACTTGGCTCTCCTGAGAATCTCCTTGTCTTCAGGCACTTGGCTCTCCTGAGAATCTCCTTGTCTTCAGGCACTTGGCTCTCCTGAGAATCTCCTTGTCTTCAGGCACTTGGCTCTCCTGAGAATCTCCTTGTCTTCAGGCACTTGGCTCTCCTGAGAATCTCCTTGTCTTCAGGCACTTGGCTCTCCTGAGAATCTCCTTGTCTTCAGGCACTTGGCTCTCCTGAGAATCTCCTTGTCTTCAGGCACTTGGCTCTCCTGAGTATCTCCTTGTCTTCAGGCACTTGGCTCTCCTGAGAATCTCCTTGTCTTCAGGCACTTGGCTCTCCTGAGAATCTCCTTGTCTTCAGGCACTTGGCTCTCCTGAGAATCTCCTTGTCTTCAGGCACTTGGCTCTCCTGAGAATCTCCTTGTCTTCAGGCACTTGGCTCTCCTGAGAATCTCCTTGTCTTCAGGCACTTGGCTCTCCTGAGTATCTCCTTGTCTTCAGGCACTTGGCTCTCCTGAGAATCTCCTCGTCTTTGAACCTGAGCAGATTCACCACTATAGATCTGGGCCGTCCAGATTCTGTGTCACGCCAAGTTTCAATCTATACGTCCTCAATTCTATCAATTAAAATGTTATTGCACCTCGATTGGTTTTCGAGGTAGTCTCCTTTGGAAGAGCGCTTGTCAAGTGTTGTTTGGAAAATTGCGAAATCCTCAAACATGGTTTTGAATGCGGTCTGGCTGGTGACATTCATGCCCTTTAGTTCCTCCACCTCCGACTGTGTAAACTCCAAACTGTGTTTAAATTCCATTATATCCTTAAACAGATCATCAACCCTTTTGTTAGTAGAATCCATAAAGAGTTGCAGGAAGGAATTAGTTATTTTCCTGCAAATCTATCAGATCTCTTTTTGTTGATCGAGTAGTTCATGGAGTGTAGTGCTTGATACGTATTCATCGCATTGAGCTTTGCAGCGTTCTCCTGTCTAGTATTATGCTATAAACTTGTTGTGAGCTAAAATGAGTTCGCAAACATAACCCACACCCCGCCTCCTGAACACCCTCCGCCTCCTGAACACAAGCTCCGCCTCCTGAACACCCCCTAACTTCTGAACACAAGCTCCGCCTCCTGAACACCCCCCCGCCTCCTGAACACAAGCTCCGCCTCCTGAACACCCCCTGCCTCCTGAACACAAGCTCCGCCTCCTGAACACCCCCCGCCTCCTGAACACAAGCTCCGCCTCCTGAACAAACCCTGCCTCCTGAAAACAAACTCCTCCAGTGAAATGGCAAACACACACAAGCAACACAGACTTGATGACACATGCACCAGCACGATAAACAGAGAGAAGGCAGAGAACTAACTCACTGTATGGATCCTGGCTGCACTTTATCAAACGAGCAGGAGATTACCAACTCGCAAGTTAGAGCAGTATGCGGGGCAGGAAGCCAAAACACCGGTCAAAGATGCTTGGGAGGGACAGTGGTAGGAGCATTCGCTTCCCCACGGAACGAGCAGCGTTACGATCTGTCTGTCTGAGCTCAAGATCTAACAGCGGCTGAGACACCCCATCTATCTATCTCTGCATAGTTTCTGTGGGGATAACGTGGGATGGAGTGATGCTACGACACAGTGATGCAATGACACAGCCAGAGACGACCCCCTAGGGAGCCCAGGGAAGACAGAGAAGACCCTAGAGAGCCCAGGGAAGACAGAGACGACCCCAGAGAGCCCAGGGAAGACAGAGACGACCCTAGAGAGCTCAGGGAAGACAGAGACGACCCTAGAGAGCCCAGGGAAGACAGAGACGACCCTAGAGAGCCCAGGGAAGACAGAGACGACCCTAGAGAGCCCAGGGAAGACAGAGACGACCCTAGAGAGCCCAGGGAAGACAGAGACGACCCTAGAGAGCCCAGGGAAGGAGACATTCAGCCTGCAGGGTAAGAGAACATGGTGGAGGTACCTGGAAGGTGCGTAGGTGTGTTTACTCACTGGAAACGGTGTGCAGGCTGAAGGACAGTTTGTTCCTGGGGGTGATGGCTGGGGGGCCCGGGGAGGACTGGGGCTGGGGGGGTCCGGGGGACACAGAGAGACGGCGGTCTCCACTCAAAAGGTTCAACACCTGACTCTTTGGTCTCTGAGGCCTCAGTGGGCTGATCTGAACACACAGAGAGAGAAGAGACATATCACAGATCCTGTTGGAATCTGGTCAAATCAATCAATCTAATTAAAAAAGACATAAGCGGGCTGATCTGAGGAAGTCTGAAGAGCGGCATCAGAGATCATGTTGCAATCAATCAATAAAGAAAGAGCAAGAAATAAAAAAGCAAGCAAGAAACAAAGAGAAAGAGAGAGAGAGAGAGAGAGAGAGAGAGAAGAGAGAGAGAGAGAGAGAGAGAGATAGATAAAAGAGATAGAGCGAGAGCGCGTGACGCGCTGAGCTCGAGTCTCATATAGAGAGAAAAAGAGAGAGAGAGAGAGAGATAGCCCGAGAAGAACAGAGATCTAGACAGAGAGAGAGACGAGCGAGAGAGAGAGAACGATATCAGAGAGATAGATACACAAGATATAGAGAGCTCGCGATCTCTTCTCGCTAGCTTATTCTATGCTCTACGTCTCTCTCTCTCTCCTCGCTCTCTCTCCCTCTCTCTCTTCTCCTCTCTCTCTCTCTCCTCTCTCTCTCTCTCTCTCTCTCTTGTCTCTGCGCTCTCTCTCCTCTCTCTCTCCCCCCTCTCTTCTACTCTCCTAGCTACTCTCTCCCTTCTTAGATCCCTCTACTAGCCGAGATAGAGAGAGACCACCTATCACCATCATGTTGCTACCAAACCTATTATTTATTAGTGGTAAAGTCAGACCATCTAAACTACATCCTGAAAACCAAGTGAGATCACCATTCTGTGAATGTACTGCACTGAAAGACCAACTGTGTCTGTTGAAGTATAACAAAGGAGAGATCAATTCAATATAATTTACAGTGAAAATTGCTTTCGTATCCTCGTCGGGATTGGCTCAGCGTATTTCTCTCTGAACATATGAAGGCTATTTGTATTTCTGAAGCAGGGCCCAGATGGAAACTGCTGTTTATTGTCAGCTTACTGCATCTAATTTGTGGTTTGTGCCTCAATATTGGTTTTCACATGGTAGGGTATAATTTCAAGCTTTATTGTGAAGAAGTTTTAAAGGGCTACACATTTATTTACAGTGAGGGAAAAAAGTATTTGATCCCCTGCTGATTTTGTACGTTTGCCCACTGACAAAGACATGATCAGTCTATAATTTTAATGGTAGGTTTATTTGAACAGTGAGAGACAGAAATACAACAAAAAAATCCAGAAAAACGCATGGCAAAAATGTTATAAATTGATTTGCATTTTAATGAGCTCAGGACCTCAGACTGGGGCAAAGGTTCACCTTCCAACAGGACAACGACCCTAAGCACACAGCCAAGACAATGCAGGAGTGGCTTCGGGACAAGTCTCTGAATGTCCTTGAGTGGCCCAGCCAGAGCCCGGACTTGAACCAGATCGAACATCTCTGGAGAAACCTGAAACGCTCCCCATCCAACCTGACAGAGCTTGAGGATCTGCAGAGAAGAATGGGAGAAACTCCCCAAATACAGGTGTGCCAAGCTTGTAGCGTCATACCCAAGAAGACTCAATGCTGTAATCGCTGCCAAAGGGTTTACAGCATTGAGCAAAGTACTGAGTAAAGGTTCTGAATATTTATGTAAATGTAATATTTCCGTTTTTTATTTTTAATAAATTAGCAAACATTTCTAAAAACCTGTTTTTGCTTTGTCATTATGGGGTATTGTGTGTAGATTGATGAGGGGAAAAAAACAATTTAATCAATTTTAGAATAAGGCTGTAACGTAACAAAATGTGGAAAAAGTCAAGGGGTCTGAATAGTTTCTGAAGGCACTGTAAATCCTACAGCTTACAGATGTTAGCCTCTTCCCTGTGCCAATGAGATTGAATGAAAGAGTCATCTCTCCTCTCTTCTCAGGCCCCAGGGTAGAAGCTCTATCAGGGACCAGACGACTGATGCCTGGCTGGCTGATCTACCACCAGGGCCACACTCAGATCCTTATCTTAATTTCATTACCGACCGGTGGCTTCATCCCAAAGGGCCAGAGCAGAGGGCTTTGATGCTCTGCTGCTGAAATGAAGAGAAGAGGAGAGGAGCCTGGAGGAAGAATTATGTGGTGCGGAGAGGAGGGAGGGGGAGGGAGGAGAGGAGCCTGGAGATAGGAGGATGTGGTGCGGAGAGGAGAGGAGAGGAGGGAGGGAAGAGAGGAGCCTGGAGATAGGAGGATGTGGTGCTGAGAGGAGAGGAGAGAGGGGGGAGGGAGAGAGGGAGGGAGGGGAGGAGCCTGGAGCTAGGAGGATGTGGTGCTGAGAGGAGAGGAGAGGAGGGAGGAGCCTAGGGATAGTTTCCCACTCACCGTCTCTGACAGTATGACTGCCTCGGCGGGCTGCAGGAGGATCTCAGTGGTCTTCAGCTCCTTGTCAAAGATCTCCTGGTGCTTACTGTTCCTCTTCTCCTTCTTCTTGTCCTTCCTCTCCCTCTCCGACTCGTCGCGCTCCAGCTTGTCCTGGGACTTACAGTGCAGCTTCTTTGGCAGGAGAGGCTCTAGGGTAAAGCTGGGAGGGAGAGGACAACAGGGAGAATTAATGAAGATCTGTGATGAGCAGGGGTTTTCTGTATCAAAAAGGGGCTTAAATTGTGGGCACTGTCGGCATCTTAATAACAAAATCGATACTGTTAAATACATTGTTTTTGGTGATTGTTAGTTCTCAAAGATTATTTACATTTGAGAATCATTTTATTAAAACAATTATTAGTCCATTATCTTTTCTAAATACTTTATATCTGGTTTTAGTCGTTACGTTTTTTTAGTTTAGACTTAGGCCTGCCCAAGGATTTCTATCGCAGAAAAATTGATATATTGAATTTAAACCTGAAATGTGTATAGTGTGTATATTAGTCCTTAATGAAGGTGTGGTCAGACATTCAGAAAGGAGTGTCTCATTTTGCTGGTTTTTTTCTGACGTCCCAATTTTTCACATAAAAGTGTGTGTTTGTGTGTGTGTATTATTGAAAGCGGTGTTCTGACATTTGCAAAAATTCCCTTTCCCCTGATGTCCCCATTTGTCACATGAACATGTGCATCATTGTGTCAGTCCTTATTGAAAGGTGTGTTCAGAAATTCAGGGAGGTGTCCCCCATTTTACTGTTTTTATCAGGACGTCCACATTTGTCACATAAACGTGTCTGTCTCTCTCTCTGTCTGTGTCATTCCTTACCCGTCTGAGCCAGGTCTGGAGGGTGAGTTGTCAGAGGAGACGGAGTTGACTGAAGCCACAGAGAGCGGTCTCTGTTGTGAGGGCATGGTGAAGGAACGCACCATAGAGCGAGGACGGGACCCACGCCTGTCATCCACCGCAGGCTGCAGAAAGAAACACACACAACACAGTGTAGTGCCACGCAGTTACTACACCATTATCTAATAACACACTGACAACATCATGTACACCACAGTTAATCATGACAGAGAGAGAGAGAGACAGAGACAGAGAGAGACAGAGAGAGAGAGAGAGAGAGACAGAGAGAGAGACAGAGAGAGACAGAGAGAGAGACATAGAGAGAGACAGATAGAGAGAGACAGAGAGAGAGACAGAGAGACAGAGAGAGAGAGAGAGAGAGACAGAGACAGAGACAGAGAGAGACAGAGAGAGAGAGACAGAGAGAGAGACAGAGAGAGAGAGACATAGAGAGCGACAGGGAGAGAGAGACAGACAGAGACAGCGACAGGGAGAGAGAGACATAGAGAGAGACGGATAGAGAGAGACAGAGAGAGAGAGAGAGAGAGAGAGACAGAGAGAGAGACAGAGAGAGAGAGAGAGAGAGAGAGAGAGAGAGAGAGAGAGAGAGAGAGAGAGAGAGAGAGAGAGAGAGACAGAGAGACAGAGAGATTATTGAGCTCCATATAACATTGGCAGTCCTGACTACAAGGTCCGGCTATAACATAAAGTTCTGTTTCTGGTAGTCCCCTGAGAGAGTCCCAGTCTGCTGTCAGCCTGGTCTGTTGTGCTATGGCTGTGCTGTTCTGTCTTTGAGCAGGGCTCTTATAGCATATTCATTAATGCCGTGTGCACACACACACACACACACACACACACACACACACACACACACACAAGCACACACACACGCCGCAAGCACACGCCACGCGAGCCAGCGGCAGTGATGATAGTCCAACCTCATGAATTTATACCATGTAAATTCTCCGCCTCCTATCTCTGAGTGATCAATACCTGCCTCCTGGCATCAGTGTTAGTCTATACCATCTACAGATCCATGCCCTTGGGGCTATTCAGTGTGTGTGCTCTTCCATACTGAACTGGCCCAGGGTCCTGGTAGCTAGCGTTGTCAGCAGCATTGGGGTTCAGAGACTGAGAGGACAGGACTGTTAGATTAATTTGGATTTTTAAGAATAATGACTAAAGGATTTCACCCCCAAAATACAGTATAAATGTTAGAATTATCATGTAGTGTCAACCCACTAACAGAGGGGGCGGTACTAACCCTTCAAGGGTGAAGGGGAAGGCGGAAACTGTTTAGAAAAGCCACCTAAAGGTGGGAGGAGTCAAGTCCAGGAGGTATAAAATCGTATGTTTGTGTTTTTGGCGTCAGAGCTCTCCATGAATAAAAACACAAAAAATCCTTCTTCGTGGTTATGGACCTTGAATCATTGATGATTAAAACCAGAGCCTTACAACCTCTGGTAATGATTCAAGCTTAGGTTGAATTAGAGAGAGAAATTCACATAACAAGGACACAATAGAGGGCCGTTCAGGAAGACAACAAACTTGGGGATATGGAGAGTTAAGGAACTCAAATACTGAGTCAAGGTCTGTGTCTGTTCTGTTCTGCTCCGTGCGTCAACAGAAACACCATGGGATCAACGTAAAAAGCTGTTGTAAAATAATCCTAATTGTGGCCATAATTTTGACAAAACTGCAGGTGAATGGCACAAAAGTTTGTGTGGAAATAAATCCAGGGACACTTTTGAATGGGCCAGCAATAGGAGAGGAGAGAGTAGGAGTACACCAAGAGGAACTGCCCCTCCCTCAAACTCAACACCCCAACCCCTCCCACTCCATTCTGCCACCTCAGGTCTCTTAGCCCTCCCACTCCCGCTCAGCCCAGTCCCAGCTCTTCTCTGTCCTGGCACCCCAATGGTGGAACCAGCTTCCCCCTGAAGCTAGGACAGCAGAGTCCCTGACCATCTTCTGAAAACATTTGAAACCCTACCTCTTCATTTTAAATACTCATCCTCCTCACACTCCTTGCACTTGACCCCCCCCCCCCCCCCCCCCCCTCCTACTTTCTATGACTGTGATATGCGGTTGTCTCAGTTAGCTATCTGAAGATGAATATACTAACTACTGTGATATGTGGTTGTCTCACCTAGCTATCTGAAGATGAATGCACTAACTGTAAGTACCTCTGGATAAGAGCGTCTGCTAAAATACTAACATGTCAATGTAAAATGTGTAGGAGAGAGTAGGATGAGAGGAAAGGAGGAAAGAGGATAGAGAGAGAGGGGAGAAGTAGAGAGGAAGAGAAGGAGAGAGGAGAGCGGAGGAGACAGGAGAGAGGAGAACAGAAGAGAGGAGAGGAGAGGAGAGGAGAGGAGAGGAGAGGAGAGGAGAGGAGAGGAGAGGAGAGGAGAGGGGAGGGGAGGGGAGCGGAGCGGAGAGGAGCGGAGAGGAGAGGAGAGGAGAAAGATCAGTTGGGTTCATGCATAGTGACGTGGAGAGAGGAGACCAGGTACCCAGTTAGGGACTCGCGCGGTCATTCGAGGAAGAGCATAGCAGAGAGATCTCACCAGTGTCTTGACTCCATACTGTTTCTCCACTTTCTCTCGGAGCTGTTTGAAGCAGGCCTCCAGACGGTCATGGAAAGGCCTCAGAGCCTCAGTCACTTTCTCTCCATGGATACGAACTCCATCAGCCAGGTAAGGGATCTGAAAACACACAATGGACACAACAGTCAAGTAAGGAACCTCAACACACAACAAAATGGACACAAAACATTCCCCCTCCTACTGGTGTCAGGTGGTATATTATACTCCATAACATTCCCCTCCTACTGGTGTCAGGTGGTATATTATACTCCATAACATTCCCCCTCCTACTGGTGTCAGGTGGTATATTATACTCCATAACATTCCCCTCCTACTGGTGTCAGGTGGTATATTATACTCCATAACATTCCCCTCCTACTGGTGTCAGGTGGTATATTATACTCCATAACATTCCCCTCCTACTGGTGTCAGGTGGTATATTATACTCCATAACATTCCCCTCCTACTGGTGTCAGGTGGTATATTATACTCCATAACATTCCCCTCCTACTGGTGTCAGGTGGTATATTATACTCCATAACGTTCCCCTCCTACTGGTGTCAGGTGGTATATTATACTCCATAACGTTCCCCTCCTACTGGTGTCAGGTGGTATTTATACTCCAAACTTCCCTCCTCTGTGTCAGGTGGTTCTTATACTCCAAACATTCCCCTCCTACTGGTGTCAGGTGGTATATTATACTCCATAATTCCCCTCCTACTGGTGTCGGTATATTCCATAACATCCCCTCCTACTGTGTAGGGATTTACTCCTAATTCCCCTCCTACTGGTGTAGTGATTATTATACTCCTCAGGTTCCCCTCCTACTGTTCCTGTACATTTTCCATTAATTCCCCTCCTCTGTTCAGGTATATTATACTCCATTCCGTCCTATGGTGTCAGGTGGTATTCTACCCATAACGTTCCCTCCTACTGGTGTCATGGGTATATTATACTCCATACGTTCCTCCTAACTGGTGTCAGGTGGTATATTATCACCCCTATTCCCCTCCTACTGGTTCAGTGGTATTACTCCCTACTTCCCGTCTCTGTGTCAGTGGTAATTCTCCTAACTTCCCGTCCTCTGGTGTCAGTGGTATATTATACTCCATACGTTCCCCTCCTACGGTGTCAGGTGGGTATATTATACTCCATAACTTCCCCTCCTACGGTGTCAGGTGGATATTTACTCTAACTTCCCTCCTACTGTGTCAGGTGGATATTCCTAACATTCCCCTCCTACTGGTCCAGGTGGTAATTATACTCCATAACATTCCCCTCCTACTGGTTCAGTGGTTTTAACTCCATAACTTCCCCTCCTACGGTGTCAGGTTATTATTAACTCCTAACATTCCCCTCCTACTGGTGTCCGGGTATTATACTCCTAACATTCCCCTCCTACTGGTGTCAGGTGTATATTATACTCCATAACATTCCCCTCCTACTGGTGTCAGGTGTATTTATACCCATACCTTCCCCTCCTACTGGTGTCAGGTTGGTATATTCCCATAAATTCCCTCCTACTGTGTCAGGTGGTATTAACCTACATCCCCTCCTACTGGTGTCAGGTGTATTTATACTCCATAACTCCCCTCCTACTTCGGTGTATGGTATTTATACTCATATCCCTCCTACTGTGGTCAGGTGGATATTATACTCCATACATTCCCCTCCTACTGGCGGTGTATTATACTCCATAACTTCCTCCATGGTCAGTTTTATACTCCATACGTTCCCCTCCTACTGGTGTCATGTATATTACTCCATAAGTTCCTTTATTGGTCGATATTCCACTCTCTTATCGGTTATGTTAGATAAATTCCCCTACTCTTCCTACTGGTGTCAGGTGGTCATTTACTCCATAACTTCCCCACGGTCGGTGGTATATTTACCATATTCCCCCCTACTCATGTGGTATATATCTAATACCTCCTACTGTTCCAGTTAATACTATACTCATACTTTCCCCCTGTTCCTGGTCTATTTATTCATAATTCCCCTCCTACTGGTTCTTGGTTTTAAACCCATAATTCCCCTCCTACTTCGGTGTATTGTATATTCCTAAATTCCCCTCCTATGGTTCGTGGTATATTTATACTCCAAATTCCCTCCTACTGTGTCATGTGGTATATTTACTCCATAACTTCCCCTCCTACTGGTGTCGTGGTATATTATTTAAATCCCTCTACTTCACGTTACTATTGTCGTGGAAATTTACCTCCATAACATTCCCCTCCTACTTTGTCCGTAAATTTCTCCCATAACATGTTCTCCTACATGTTTTGGTATATTACTCCATAATTCCCCTCCTCTGGTGTCAGGTGGTATTATACTCATAACATCCCCTCCTACTGGTTCAGTGTATATATAACATCCCCTCTCGGTGTAGTGGTATATTCTCCATATTCCCCTCCACTGGTGTTCGGTGTATTATACTCCTATATCCCCTCCTGACTTCCGGTAATATCTCCGTACATTCCCCTCCACGTTGTCTGTATTTATACTCCATAACTTCCCTCCTAATTGCTCTACTGGTGTAGTATATACTCCATACTTCCCCTCCTACTGGTGTCAGGGGGTTTATACGTAACTTCCCGTCCTATGGGTCGGTGGTATATTTACTCCATAACGTTTCCTCCTACTGGTGCTGGGGATATTATACTCCATACTTCCCCCCTCACTGGTGTCAGGTGGTATATTATACTCCATAACTTCCCCTCCTACTGGTTCGGTGGTATATTATACTCCATAACATTCCCCCCCTCTTTGGTGTAGGTGGTATATTACACCCATAACCTTCCCCCTCTACGGTGTCAGGTGGTATATTATACTCCATAACATTCCCCTCCTACTGGTGTCAGGTGGTATAATTATACTCCATAACATTCCCCTCCTACTGGTGTCAGTGTATATTATACTCCATAACATTCCCCCCCTGTGTAGGTTGGTATATTATACTCCTACATTCCCCCCTACTGGTGTCAGGGGATATTATACTCCTAACTTCCCTCCTACTTTTCAGTTGGTAAGTAGTTATATTACTCCATACATTTCCTACTGGTGTATGGATTATACATATTCCCCCTACTGGTGTCAGGTGGTATATTATCTCCATAACTTCCCTCCTATGGTGTCAGGTGTATTTATACTCCATAACTTCCCCTCCTACTGGTGTCAGGGGTATTTATAGCTCCATAACTTCCCCCTCTACTGTGTCGTGGTATATATACTCCATAACGTTCCCTCCTCCTTTGTCAGTGGTATATTATATCTCCATAACATTCCCCTCCTCTTGTCAGGGTATATTATACTCCCATAACGTTCCCCTCCTACTGGTGTCAGGTGGTATATTATACTCCATAACATTCCCCTCCTACTGGTGTCAGGTGGTATATTATACTCCATAACACCCCCTCCTACTGGTTCAGGTGGTATATTAATCCATAACTTCCCTCCTACTGGTGTCAGGTGGTATATTATACTCCATACATTCCCTCCTCTTGGTTCAGGGGTTATTATACTCCATACATTCCCTCCTACTGGTGTAGGTGGTAATTTATACTCCATAACATTCCCCTCCTACTGGTGTCAGGTGGTATATTATACTCCATAACATTCCCCTCCTACTGGTGTCAGGTGGTATATTGACTCCATAAAATTCCCCCCTACCTGTTGTCGGTGTATATTTACTCCATAACATTCCCCTCCTACTGGTGTCAGGTGGTATATTATACTCCATAACTTCCCCTCCTACTGGTGTCAGGTTGGTAATTATACTCCTAACTTCCCCTCCACTGTGTAGGTGGTTTATTATACTCCATAACTTCCCCTCTACTGGTGTCATGTGGTTATTATACTCCTCATTCCTCCCCTCCTACTGGTGTCAGGTGGTATATTATACTCCAACCTCCCCCTCTACTGGTGTCAGGTGGTATATTCTCCAAACTCCCTCCTACTGGTGTCAGTGGTAATTATACTCCATAACCATTCCCTCCTACTGGTTCAGGTGGTATATTATACTCCATAACATTCCCCTCTACTGGTGTCGTGGTAATTATAACTCCATAACTTCCCCCCTACTGGTGTCAGGTGGTATATTATACTCCATAAATTCCCCTCCTACTGGTGTCAGGTGGTATATTATACTCCATAACTTCCCTCCCACTGGTGTCAGTGGTATATTAACTCCATAACATTCCCCTCCTACTGGTGTCAGGTGGTATATTATACTCCATAACATTCCCCTCCTACTGGTGTCAGGTGGTATATATATCCCAAAAATTTCCCCTCCTACTGGTGTCAGTGGTATATTATACCATAACATTCCCCTCCTACTGGTGTCAGGTGGTATATTACTCCATAACTCCCTCCTACTGGGTCGTTGGTATATTACTCCATAACTTCCCCCTACCCCGGTGTCAGGGGGATATTATCTCCATAACATTCCCTCCTCGGTGTCAGGTGGTATATTATACATACATTCCCCTCCTACTGGTGTCCAGGTTATTACTCCATAACATTCCCCTCCTACTGTTCAGGGTTGTTATATCTCCATAACTCCCCTCCTACTGTGTCAGTGGTATTATACTCCATAACATTCCCTCCTACTTGTGTCAGTGGTATATTTATCTCCATAACATTTCCCTCCTACTGGTGTTTGGTATATATACTCCATAACTTCCCCTCCTACTGGTGTCAGGTGGTATATTATACCCATAACATTCCCCCCTACTGGTGTCAGGGTAATTATACTCCATAACATTCCCTCCACTGGTGTCAGGTGGATATTATACTCCATAACTTCCCTCCTACTGGTGTCAGGTGGTATATTATCTCCATAACATTCCCCTCCTACTGGTTCCTGTGTATATTATACTCCATAACTTCCCCTCCTACTTGTTCAGGTGGTAATATACTCCATAACATCCCCCCTCCTACTGGTGTCGGTGGTATTTATACTCCATAACATTCCCCTCCTACGGTTGTCAGGTGGTATATTACTCCAAACATCTTCCCCTCCCTACTGGTTGTCGGTGGTATATTATACTCCATAACATTCCCCCTCCTACTGGTGTCAGGTGGTATATTTAATCCATAACATTCCCCTCCTACTGGTGTCA